ATAAAATAAAATAGTGGATATTTTCAAGCTTCATGGTAACCTCAAATAAAAAAACATACATGAGACACACAAAAAATAGAAAGCAAGAAAATCAATTATGCCACCAGAGAAAATCACCTTCACTAAAAGCAAGGAGGAGGCAGAGAGGGAATAAAGGAAAAGAAGACCAGAAAACAAATAGCAAAATGGCAGGATTAAGTACTTACTTACCAATAAAAACATTGAATATAAGCAAACTAAACTCCTCAATAGAGAGTTAAAAGACACTGAGCAGTTGAATGGATTAAAAAAACAAGCCCCACCTATCTGATGCCTATAAGAAACATACTTCACCTATAGGGAAACACACAGACTGATAATAAAGTGATGGAAACTGATAATAAAGTGATGGAAAAGATATTCCATGCAATGGAAACTTAAAAAGAGCAGGAATAGCTATGCTTACATCAGATAAAATAGATTTCAAGACAAAAATCATAAAAAGAGACAGAAGTCATTATGTAATGATAAAGGGGTCAATTCAGCAGAAGGATATGACAACTGTAGATATATATGTACCCAACACTGGAGCACACAGATATAAAAAGCAAATATTATTAGAACTAAAAACAGAGACAGACCCCAATACAATAACAGCAGGAAACTTCAGCGACCCACTTTTACCCTTGGACAGATCATCCAGACAGAAAATCAACAAAGAAACATCAGGCTTAATCTGCACTATAAAACCTAATTTATATTTACAGAAAATTTCACCCAATGGCTGCAGAATATACATTGTTCTCAGCACATAGATCATTCTCAAGGATAGACCATATGTTAGGTCACAAAACAAGTCATAAAACATTAAAAACAACAACAATGGCTGGGTATAGTGGCTCATGCCTATAGTCACAGCACTATGGGAGGCCGAGGCAGGCAGATCACTTGAGGCCGAGAGTTCGACACCAGCCTGGCCAACATGGCAAAACCCTGTCTCTACTAAAATTACAAAAATGAGGTGGGTGCGGGGGCTCACACCTGTAATCCCAGCACTTTGGGAGTCCAAGGCAGGCGAATCACATGAGGTCAGGAGTTCCAGACCAGCCTGATCAACATGGTGAAACCCCGTATCTACTAAAAATACAAAAACTAGCCAGGTGTGGTGACGCATGCCTGTGGTCCTAGCTACTTGAGAGGCTGAGGAAGGAGAATCACTTGAACCCAGGAGGAGGAGGTTGCAGTGAGCCAAAGAGTGCACAACTGTACTTCAGCCTAGGCAACAGAGATAAACTCCATCTAAAAAGAAAAAAAAATTAGCCAAGCCTGGTGGTACACACCTGTAATCCCAGCTACAAGGGAAACTGAGGCAAAAGAATCACTTGAATCTGGGAGGTGGAGATTGCAGTGCACTATGATCATGCCACTGCACTCCAGCAACACCCTGTTTCAAAAAAAAAGAAATCAACACCCTGTTTCCGAAAAAAAGAAATTAAAAAAATTGAAATAGCATCAGGCCTTCTCTGACCACCATGAAATAAAATTAGAAATTACTAACAAGGTATTTTGGAAACTATACAAATATATGAAAATTAAACAATATGCTCCTGAATGACCAGTGAGTCAATGAAGAAATTAAGAAGGAAATTGTTTCTTGAAGTAAATGATAATGGAAACACAACATACCAAAACCTATGGGATTACAATGAAAGCAGTACTAAGAGCGAAATTTATAGCTGTAAGTGCCTATACATCAAAAAAGAAGAAATCTTCAAGTAACCTAACAATGCATCCTAAAGAACTAGAAAAGCAAGAGCAAACCAGGCCTAAAATTACTGGAAAAAAAGAAATAATAAAGATCAGAGAACAATTAAACAAAACTGAAACCAAGAAAATAATACAAAAGATCAAGGAAATGAAAGGTTGGTTTATTGAAAAGATAAATAAAATTGACAAACTTTGCCAGACAAACTAAGAGAAAAGGAAACAAGACCCCAAAGCCCTCATGAATGGATTAATGCCATTATGAAAGAGCTTGAGGTTAAAGGGCAAGCCCTCTCCTGCCCTTCTGCCTTCCACTATGTGATGACGCAGCAGGAAGACCCTCACCAGATCAAGTGCCTTGATCTTGGACTTGCAGCCTCCAGAATGGTAAAAAAGTAAATTTCTGTTCATTATAAATTACACAGTCTCAGATATTCTGTTATAGCAGCACGAAATGGACTGAGACAGATTTCAATACTCACTAAATTGATCTACAGATTTAATGCAATCTCCAAAAAAACCCAGCCAGTCTCTCTACAGAAACTGACAAGATAATGCTAAAATTCATATGGAAATTCAAGGCACCCATAATAACCAAAACAATCTTGAAAAGAAATAGAAAAGAAAAACTCATGTGTCCTGATTTCAAAACTTAAGACATGGCTATAATAATCTAGGCGTATCAGCATAAACTGACATATAGATCAATGAAATAGTTAAGAGTCCAGAAATAAACATATTTATGGTTCTATTAGTTTGTTTTCATATTGCTATAAAGAACTGCCCAAGACTGGGAAATTTATAAAGGAAAGAGGTTTGACTCACAATTAAGCATGGCTGCGGAGGCTCAGGAAACTTACAATTATGGCAGAAGGCAAAGCAGGAGCAAGGCAGTTTCTTGTCAAGGAAGCAGGAAGGAGAAGTGCTAAGCGAAGTGGGGAAGAGCCCCTTATAAAACCATCATCTCTCGTAAGAACTCACTATCACGAGAACACCACAGGGGAAACTGCACCCATGATTCAATTCCCTCCACCTGGTCTCTCCCTTGACACATGGAAATTATGGAAATTACAATTCAAGATGAGATTTGGGTGGGGACACAAAACCTAACCATATTGATGGTCAACCGATTTTTGACAAGGCTAGTAAAACAACACGACAGGGAAAGTATAGTCTTCAATGGTGCTGGGACCACTGAATAGCCCATCCAAAAGAATAGAGCTGGATCCCTTCACCACATCATCCATATGAATTAAATCAAACTGTACCACAGACGTTAAGTGTAAGAGCCCCACATCTTGCACTTATAAAATTAGAATTATGAAACTACTGGTAGAAAATACAGAGTTAGGCAAGATCCAAATGCAATTTAAGGAGTACACAGGGAAACCCAAAAACAACAGGATAAACCAAAACAAGGATACCAGAGAAAATTTTAGCCTCTGATACATACAGCTACAGCAAACACTAAATAAAGCTTAACTCACAGCCAGATTAAAACAACAACAACAAAAAACACCTCATAATAAAGGTCTATTTAACTCAGTTTTTTTTTTTTTTGAGACGGAGTTTCGCTCGTTACCCATGCTGGAGTGCAATGGCACGATCTCGGCTCACCGCAACCTCCGCCTCCTGGGTTCAAGCAATTCTCCTGCCTCAGCCTCCTGAGTAGCTGGGATTACAGGCACATACCACCATGCCCAGCTAATGTTTTGTATTTTTAGTAGAGATGGGGTTTCACCATGTTGACCAGGATGGTCTCGATCTCTCGACCTCGTAATCTGCCCGCCTCAGCCTCCCAAAGTGCTGGGATTACAGGCTTGAGCCACCGCGCCCGGCTTATTTAACTCAGTTTTTAAACAAAATACATTATATCCAGCCTCAATTAAAAGGCATGCTAAAAGACAAAAATACAGTTTGAAAAGAGAGAGCAAGTCGAACATCCGAACCAGACCTACATATGGCAGAGATACTGGAATTATTTAATATGACAATGGGAATTTAAATAATGATGATTAATATACTAAGGGCTCAAATGGAAAAAGTGGACAACATGCAAGAACAGACAGGTAATAAAGACAGAAAGATAAAAACTCAGAAAGAAAGAGCCAAAAACAAATGCTAAAATTCAAAATCACAGTAACAGAAATGAAGAATGCCTTTGACGGGCTCATCGGTAGACTGGACTTTACCAAGAAAAAAATCAGTGAGACTGAAGAAACATCAGTATCTTCCTGAAACTTCCTGAACTAAAAAGCTAACAGAAAGAAGAACGAAAAGAAGAAAAAAAAAAGAACGGATTATCTAAGACCAGTGGAGCCAGTGCCTGGCTAGCTCAGTCAGTAGAATAGGAGACTCTTAAGAACAATGGGCCAACTACAAGAGTGAAACATACACTTAATGGGCATACCAGGAGAAGGAGAGAAAGAAACAGAAGAAACATTCGAAGTAGTAATGGCTGAAAAACTTCCAAAATTAATGACAGAACCAAACTATGGACCTAGGAAACACAAAACACCACGCAGAATGAATATGAAAAAATCTACACCTAAGCATATCATATTAAAACTTTGGAGAATCAAAGACAAAGAGAAAATCTTGAAAGAAGCCAAATAAAAAAACATACCTCACCTATAGAGAACAAAGGTAAGAATTACATCAGACTTATCTTTAGAAACTATGCAGGGAAGAAGAGACTACAGTGAAATATTAAATCCTATAGTATTCTCTTTGGATTAGAAACCATGATGCTGGCTCAGATATTTCCTCCTTTGGATGCTCATAGGGAGAATTAAAAAATCATAGAGGAAAAAAAAAAGAAAGATTACAACAGTGATTCTCAAATTTGAGTGCCCACAATAATCATCTGCACATACTGATTCCTAAAAACAACCCCCAGAAAATTTAAGCAAGTCTAGAATATGGAATTAGAGTCTAGAATCTGCATTTTGTTTTTTGACACACAGTTTAAGAAATCTAGCTATGGGTGGTTATGAACATATAGTCTCTGGAACAACTGTGAAAGGTTCAGGGGTCTCAGTGACCTATGGGTCTTTATAAAATCTAGTTACTATAAAAGTAAATGCACAGGAGTACATGTAGGTTTAGGCTAATTTTGACCAGTATTATCCTACTGATAACAAAAAAAATCTTGGTCAAAAGTCCTTCTGCTGCCCCTTCTGCACGGTCACACCGAGCCAGTGCCTTGGCCTGGAAGTGGGCCACAGACCCTTAGCTTCGCCCACCACCTCCCAACCATGGACCCCCGCAAAGTGAACGAGCTTCGGGCCTTTGTGAAGATGTGTAAGCAGGATCCAAGCCTTCTGCACACAGAGGAAATGCGCTTCCTGAGGGAGTGGGTGGAGAGTATGGGAGGTAAAATAACCACCTGCTACTCAGAAAGCTAAATCAGAAGAAAATACCAAGGAAGAAAAACCTGATAGTAAGAAGGTAGAGGAAGACTTAAAGGCAGATGAACCGTCAAGTGAGGAAAGTGATCTAGAAATTGATAATGAAGGTGTGATTGAACCAGACACTGACACCCCTCAAGAAATGCGAGATGAAAATACAGAGATAACAGAGGAGATGATAGATCAGGCAAATGATAAGAAAGTGTCTGCTATTGAAGCCCTAAATGACGGTGAATTGCAGAAAGCCATTGACTTATTCACAGATGCCATCAAGCTGAATCCTCGCTTGGCCATTTTGTATGCCAAGAGGGCCAGTGTCTTCGTGAAATTACAGAAGCCAAATGCTGCCATCCGAGACTGTGACAGAGCCATTGAAATAAATCCTGATTCAGCTCAGCCTTACAAGTGGCGAGGGAAAGCACACAGACTTCTAGGCCACTGGGAAGAAGCAGCCCATGATCTTGCCCTTGCCTGTAAACTGGATTATGATGAAGATGCGAGTGCAATGCTGAAAGAAGTTCAACCTAGGGCACAGAAAATTGCAGAACATCGGAGAAAGTATGAGCGAAAACATGAAGAGCGAGAGATCAAAGAAAGAATAGAAAGAGTTAAGAAGGTTCGAGAGGAGCATGAGAGAGCCCAGAGGGAGGAAGAAACCAGACGACAGTCAGGAGCTCGGTATGGCTCTTTTCCAGATGGCTTTCCTCGGGGAATACCTGGTGGTTTTCCCGGAGGAATGCCTGGAATGGGAGGGGGCATGCCTGGAATGGCCGGAATGCCAGGACTCAATGAAATTCTTAGTGATCCAGAGGTTCTTGCAGCCATGCAGGATCCAGAAGTTACGGTGGCCTTCCAGGATGTGGCTCAGAACCCAGCAAATATGTCAAAATACCAGAGCAACCCAAAGGTTATGAATCTTATCAGCAAATTGTCAGCCAAATTTGGAGGTCAAGCATAATGCCCTTCTGATAAATAAAGCCTTTGCTGAAGGAAAAGCAACCTAGATCACCTTATGGATGTCACAATAATACAAACCAGTGTACCTCTGACCTTCTCATCAAGAGAGCTGGGGTGCTTTGAAGATAATCCTTACTCCTCTCCCCCAAATGCAGCTGAAGCATTTTACAGTGGTTTGCCATTAGGGTATTCATTCAGATAATTTTTTCCTACTAGGAATTACAAACTTTAAACACTTTTTAACTTTAAAAATATTTAAAACAAATTTAAAGGGTCTGTTAATTCTTATATTTTTCTTTATTAATCACTTTGGATTTTTTTTCTTTGAATTATTGGGCAGGAAAGATACTGAATGTATAGAAGATTTTTGCTCTAATTTGAGTGAAATACAAGTTTATTACTGTGAGGCAGACATAACTCATTTGAGGATAAAGTTTGTGTTGGATATGTGGTTCCTGAAGCATTTTGATATGTCTTTTTAAATGCTTTATCTTTTTCTTTAAAGATTTATTTCAATAAAACTAATTGGGACCACCAGTATTTCAGTAGGACCTGGGTAGAGACTGGAAGTACTTGACAGGTCAGCAGCAATCTTGCTGTGTTTTATATCACGTGCATCCTTGGGCAGGTTGTCCTTAAATCTTACTTACACTGTGGTGAAGGGATGATTTTTTGTAATGTTGCAGTAGAGTTGGAGTACTTAGTTCTGTTCTTGTCCTAGTGTATCTAATAAATGTATCATATTATTTCCACACAGGGGAAATAAGGGAGTACTTTTCTTTTTATATTTCTATGCTTAAAATTCTCTTTCCTAGTCAAAAAATGCCGAACTCTGTGTCTGCTTTCTGCTTGTTAAGGTTTTTCTCCCTGACTTTTCTTGGGCTAAAGACAGGCTTTTTCCACCAGTATCATCACTGCTATCATCATTAACAGCATAATTATGCAAGCATATTTAATGCTGAGTTTAATTTAATATGTAATACATATGGTAATTGTAGGGTAATACCCACAACAACTGTAGTTTCTTACTTGGCCATGAGAATGCTTATTTAAGTTCCACTCTGGCAAAATCTTGTCATATCAAAAGACGTTGGAAAGAGGGATTCCCTTTGGTGTTTGGTCTTCTACTTAGAAAATACCTATTGCAGTTAGAGTTTATCTTGTAGTATTCATCTTTGTATTTTGAAGATAAGGTTTGAATTAAATTGATACACACAGAGGGGAACCCATTTTTTTGATCCAATGTAAATTATACATGACATAATCCACAGTTACTCATTGTGGAATTGTTGAGACTATGAAAGACTCATTGTCTTTGTATTCAGCCCTTCCTTAAATAGTGTAACAATACCCCCACCTCTGCTTGCTTGCTTTCCCTTCCCTCCAATGATAAAGAAAATGAGAAATAAAATTAAAAAAAAAAAAAAAAAGTCCTTCTGTTAACAACTCATAGGCTGCTGCTCATCAAGATACTGAATAAGCCCCTGCTTTGAATGGGCTACTAAGATGGAAGTTGAGAGGATAGAGATGATGTCCAGAACTGTAAAATAATACATTTGTGTTGTTTTATGCCACCAAACATGTGGGGATTTGTTACAAGAAAGAAAGCAAGCAGTAAGAAACTAATGCATATGCTAGCAAATTACCTGCCTAAAAAGAAACATTTTTCTTACCTATATCCATTGGTCGTTCTGTATTTAAACTGTCCGTGCTGCCCTGGTGTCCACCTATAGGAGTCTTTCCTTGTTGATCTGATAACTTTCCAGTACTGACAGATCTAAAAAGAATGGTTATGTTTTTAATAAAGGAAAAGTACACTTTTTTTTTTGTTCCTCGCTGGAATACTTTTTTAAAAACTAGAAGGATTACTAGGAAGTCAGAGAATGAGGAAACAGTAAATAGATAGCAAACAATTCAGAATAGAGACTAAACTTCGATAATAAAAATAAAGGAGAGAAATAGAATATTCAAGAAGTTCAGGAAGAACTAAGTATTACACAGTTACAGGAAGCATCTGTGGTTTTCTAAGATTCTATATTAAAAACGATACGGCATGACTCAGCCACTACTCTAATGCAGTCTCATATATCTGTTTTACTATTACAGTTTTCATGTTTAAGGCTAGAATGGAAACAGTATTTTACCTGCCAAACACTGCCTTGCTCTGCTGCTCGGCCCGCTGCCTCTCACTTCCTTGCACTAAGAGGCAATGGACACATTCCCGTGGCTCATTCCCATCTTTGGATTGTTCTTCTGTAGGCCCATGATGAGTAACCAGGGCTAACAGGTTGGAAGATGCTTGTGTTTTAGGGATTTTGAAAGGAGCTGTGGTCTAAAGAGACAAATATATGTAAGCTAGTTAATATGATGCATGAGTTATTCAGTACTGGCAGGCTTGTGTGACCCAGTAGTCAGGAGTATAGACTCTGGAGTCAGTCAAACCTGGATTCAAACACTGGCAGCCCTACTTGCAGCTTGTATGACCTTGTACAGTTCATTTAAACTCTCTAAGCCTCAATTTCCTTTTTTCAGGATCAAATGGGATCATACACAAAAAGCATTCTACAAGTATGCTTTGGCACACATAAGTGTGCCAGGGAAGTGGTCATTAAATTACAGCTATTCTTGGGCGGGCGTGGTGGCTCACGCCTGTAATCGCAGCATTTTGGGGGGTTGAGGCAGGCGGATCACTCAAGGCCAGGAGTTCAAGACCAGTCTGGCCAACATGGTGAAATCCTGTCTCTACTAAAATATAAAAAAAAATTAGCGGGGCATGGTGGCACATGCCTGTAATCCCAGCTATTAAGGAGGCTGAGGTACCAGAATCATTTGAACCTGGGAGGTGGGGTTGTAGTGAGCTGAGATTGTGCCACTGCTCTCCAGCCTGGAGGACAGAGCAAGACTCTGTCTCAAAAAATAAAATAAAATAAAATAACTTATAGCTATTCTTATCATGAATCCTTACCATAAATACTATATCCAGTTCCTGACCTACGAAAGTGTTTAATAAACACACCTTAGTTGGAGAACCAATGATTGTTGGCAAAGGAGTTTTAAAGAACCAGTCAGAACTCCGTGGAGAGGACCCCATGTGCTTGGTGGGAGAAGTTCCAAGGCTGCCAGGCCGACTGGGCTGAGGTGAGTAGCTGTATCCGGCCCCAGCATGGGATGGGCACACAGGGTCAGAGTGCTGTTTTCTGAGCTTCTGCTTGTTCTGATAGATGTCAGTGAGGGTGGGGGCGCTCTGCAGTCTAGCACCCAATAAGAGAGACTGTGGTGACTGAGCTTGTGGCACTGGAGAACCTAACAAGAAAACAAATGTAACATTAACCCAAAGTGAAGAAGTGCAGTGCAAAAACTTAAAAATTAAGAAGACAATTTTTAAATGAGAATTCTGATAAATATCTTATTTTGTATAAGATATTCTAAAAGTTATTTACTTGGTAAGAGACTATTTTTCTGTCATCCTTTGCAAAACAAGTCCATTGTTCATATTCTCAGGAGATAGAATTTAATGATTATGGGTTATTAGCTGTTTTTAATCAGTAGCTATCAAATAACTCAGATTAACACAAGGTCTGGTTAGCGTCAAAGAGAACAATATCATTAATGAAATTAATGAATACAACAAAAACCTCCATTGAACAGAATGATTTTTACTCTATACGAATAATACATACTTCGGTAAATAAATATAATTATTCTCTTTTCTCACATAGCAACTAAAAGAAACTTCAAACTAATCCAAAATAACTCCCTATACCAAAAAAAAAAAAAAAAAAAAAAAAAAAAAACATATATAATGTGTAGGAAAGAAGATGAAAAGATAATAGACCTTTCCTAGATTTTACTTTGTGTAAAAATAACAAGCATTTGGCTTCTCTGTACTTTGTCCATTAAATTACACACTTAAAACCTAAAGCACCCATATTCTCACAAAGACAGCGCTTGCCCACAGATATCCCTGCCTCTTCAGGGGACACCACATCAAGAGCCTAGGAGATAAGGTCCCCTTTTCCCCACTACAAACACTGTTGTTGCCAACCCAAGGTCCACTAATCCTTGACTCCAATTGCACACTCTTTGGAGTTTCTTAGAAGCCAAACTATCAAGAAAAACATTAAAGGCATGCAAATATTCTTAGTGACCTAACCATCATTCTTCTAAAAACAGAAACCAATAGAAGCTTTGCTATTGACTACTACTGGCTTCATCTCATTCCAAACCTGATATTTAATTTTTCTGCCCTTTGTAAAAATAAATTTTAGTTAAAATCTTATGGTCTGAAGAAAATTATTTAAGCTTCATTAAAGAGTGCTCTTCTAAGTAACACAGGAGTCCTTTAACTCAGCAACTCCTCAAATATCCATACAATAGAATTTGACTTATAAAATCGTGACTTATACATATCTTTTCAGGCATATATATATTATATAATTTTTAAAAATTTATATTATTTTATCCGATGCTGACTCATGGCTCTTACCAAAAATGGTATTAATAAGCAATATTAAAGTAATGAAATGTCATTTCATAAATAATTTTCATTATCTATGTGAAAACTTAACTAAGTTATTTAATTCCTAAGACTTACTTTCATTAAGGAATCTCATATCCAAAAGGAGGTATTAGATTAGCTACATGACATGTTAAATCACATTAGACCAAGATTCTAAAAATCAGGATAGCACAGGAGATATTTCATATCAATTCTGTTCTTTGAAAAGGCTAGAAAAACACAACTCAAATCCATTTATAATACAATTTTAATTATTAATATACCAAATACATTCTCCTACCTGAGGAGTTTCTACTCCTGGAGTCATGGCCCTGAGGATGCCCACAGCAGCACTGACTGAATTGCTCAGGAATGGTACCAACTAAAAAAAAAAAAAAAAAAAAAAAAAAAGATAAAGGAAGAAAAAAATGATTCAAAACCAATAAAAGACAGCAACGGGGAACACATGCACAAATCACACAAATTACTGATTAGAAAATTTTAAGTAGCAAAGGTTTAGTTCAACCAACATTTACTGGATGACCAATCTGCT